CTTATCCCTCCTGCATGGCGGAGGGGAGCGTTGTGAACAACGGGGAGTCAAAAATGGAGGGCAAAGGGAAGGTTGAGGAGCCCCAATCCATACCAGTGGTTTCTTCTACCAAGCCGCAGTCCGTGCGTTGCGTTGAGTGCCGTGAGGAGGACTGTAAATTAGTACTTTGTATACCCTGTGGGCATCGAGTGATGTGTGCTGCGTGCGCTTCTAAACGAAGCACCTGCTCGGTTTGTCTGCAGGAAATAAAGCAGACAATGAATACTTTTCTTTAGAAGAGGTGTGGTCTACGTACACATCCGTATGTGTGTGTAGTGTGCAGGGACTCGTGGGTCCTAGCATTGATTTTTGGTAGGATTCCAAGATGATTATTGAATTCAATATCCATATTATGATCTAGGACGGAACTGTTGCTTTTACATAGGGCTGAGTTACAATGGCCTCATTATTCATTGGAAACCTGTGATCACAATCAGATTATCTTTCATTTTCCAAAATTTAGCAGGAGAACTGTGAAAAAGGACTTGTGTTTTTTTCCCCACAGATGCTCATTTTTAATCTGAGCGAATGATTTAAATGCAGTTGAACGTTTCAGAACCTTGTAGTTGCATAATCCTTTGTGCTGTTGTATTCCCTTTTTCAAGATGACACAAATTACTATATTGTAATCTTTCCCCACTTTTCTGCTAATACTATAAAATTTATAGTTCATTATTATCCTTTTTTTTATCTTTTTTTATTTTTGCTTCCATGAGGTATCACTTTTCATTTTTTTACATATTTTTAGTTCTTTACCAAAATTTCGACAAGGCCTTTTTTATTATTATTTATTGACAGTGAACTTTTAAAAAATAAACATAATATTATCTCTCTTATTTTACCATAAGAAACCAATACTTATAGTTTAGAGTAAAACCAATACCTTTGAATGAGATAATAAGTGCATTGTGTAAAAATTGGACCATATATTTTAACGCTACCTATAGTTTCTTAGCTTTTCAATGTATGTATTCTATTTCTTCTGGAACAAGGTGCAGTGAAATAAAGAGAATAGGTATGCATTTAAACTGCTTTTCACACAGCAGTAATGGGAAATAACGTGTTTTTGCCTTCCCTACCCCCCTACGTTTGTTTCCATTCCTCTTTTATCTTGGTGTTCTTTTCTGGGATGAGTTGCAGGCGAGGAAAAATAGGGGATCCTTTTTGTTAGTGATATTCAACTGTCATATTTGTTTAATTCACATAAGTCAGAAAATAAAACAATGTTAATTGCGTTGGATAGGAAATCATATTAAAGTGTATGCAGACGTCAAACTTTTTTTAAAATTGTATACGTGCTGCTCATTTTTGTAGGCTAATAGCCATCCCCCTCTCATTTTTTATCAATGTTTTAGATGGATTCTTAGGGTGTGGAGAGCACTTTTTGTTTTAGGATGATGCTCTTCAATATGCCAAGGTTGTTATTACTAGAATATCATGTACTCAAGAAGCTTTGAGAAGCCGCATCGTCGGTGGTGATGGTAGGGTTCTTTGTAATGCTCATTTGGAGTATGGAGGCGTTGTACGAAATGAGAACTTTTAATGTTTACATGTATCAAAAGGCGTTGAGCGGTTTTCGAACAGGATAAATTAGATGATTTTCCCCTTCTGGATATCTTAGACAGTTCATACGCCTCTTTGCTGCAAAGTTTGCCTTTTACTTTTTTTTACGCAAAGGAAGGAATTTGGTTTGATATATCTCCGTAACGATCCTAACGTATGTGGATGCGTACATGCACAGACGTATGAATATCTATTCATCTATCTATTGATCAGAATGTATGGTGATCTCAATAAAGCATGTTGCAAAGCCCATCGAACTTGGTAAAGTTCCTCTTCACCTTTCCATATCTTCGCTTATTACCTTTGTTGATTTCTGGTGAACTCATCGAATGGGAACACAAACAGTGGAGGATATAGGTTTGTGAAAGTTGTTTATTCGCTCATAGTATATATATATATATATTTATTTATTTTGAAAATTTCGTTAACCATATCGCGACCCCTTTTCGCTCCAAACACGGGATGTTGGCCACCTCTTTGCCGTCCACCCTAAAAGGCTTTGTGCGGGCGGAGTTCGAGGACACCTGTCGCCGGCGGTTTTTCTTCGGCCCCTCCTTTGAGCCTTATGGCGGGACAGCCGGGCTGTACGACCTCGGCCCTGTCATGTGCGCGATGAAGTGCAATCTTCTTGCGTTTTGGCGGCAGCATTTCGTCCTCGAGGAAGGGATGTGCGAGATCGAGCCGACCTGCCTGACCCCGGAGGCGGTTTTTAAAACCTCCGGGCACGTCACCCGGTTTAACGACGTGATGGTGCGGGATACCATCACCGGGGAGTGCATTCGCGCGGACAAGTTTCTGGAGGAGTGGAGTTCGGCCCAACTGGGCGATCCCGCGCTCCCGCAGGAGAAAAAAGACGCTCTTCTGCACCTCCTACACGACGCCGCCGGGATGGACCAGGCGGCGATCCACAACGCCCTGACGACCCACGCGATCACCTCCCCCAAGGGCAACCCGCTCAGCCCGCCCTTTCCCTTTAATTTGATGTTCTCGACGTTGGTGGGGCCGGAAGGGGATCGGGTGGGGTACCTTCGCCCGGAGCTCGCACAGGGGATCATCTTGAATTTTAAGCGTCTGATGGACTCGGGGAATGCGCAGCGGCTGCCCTTCGCGGGGTGTGCGGTGGGGACGGCGTTCAGAAACGAAATCGCCCCCCGGGCGGCGCTGATTCGCGTGCGGGAGTTCACCTTGGCGGAGATCGAGCACTTCGTGAACCCGAACGACAAGTCGCACGAGCGGTTTGATCGGGTACGCGGGGTGGGGATTTGGGCCTGGCCGCGGGCGGCGCAGGCGGCGAATGCCGATCCCGCCCCCCTTACGATTGGCGAGGCGGTGCGCGATGGGATTATTGATAATGAAACCCTCGGCTATTTTATCGCGCGCGTCGCGATCTTTCTCGAGGCGATCGGGGTGCGCTACTACCGGTTTCGCCAACACCAGCGGGATGAGATGGCGCACTACGCGCAGGACTGCTGGGATGCGGAGCTGCTGACGTCGTATGGGTGGGTGGAGTGCGTGGGGATTGCCGATCGCTCCGCCTACGACCTCACCCAACATAGCCAGGCGACCAAGCGGAATTTGAACGCCCGGGTGGAGTACGAGCGGCCGCGAATGGAGCCGGGCCTCCAGCGAAAGCCCGCGAAGGGCCTGATTGGGAAGACTTTCGGCAAACAGGCAGGGGAGGTCCTGGCGTACCTCACCAACGCCTCGCTGGAGGAATGTCAGGCGATTCGCAACGCGCATCAGGCCGGGCAGGACGCCGAGCTGACGCTGGGCTCGGGGACGGTCAAGCTGACCCCCGCGATGGTGCAGTTCGAGGAGCAGGAGGTAAAAGTCACCGGCTACTCCTTCACCCCGAGCGTGATCGAGCCCTCTTTTGGGATTGGACGGATTTTGTACTCTCTGTTGGAGCAGAGCTATTGGGTCCGTCGAGATGACAACGCGAAGAACGAAAAACGGGCGGTCTTTAGCTTTTCGCCGCTGCTCGCGCCGCAGAAGGTGGCGCTGCTCCCGCTCATGGTGAAGCCGGAGTTGATGACGACGATTGGCGAGCTGCGGGAGGGGCTCATCATGTCCGGGGTCTCCACCCGCGTTGATGATAGTGGGGTGACGATCGGAAAGAAATACGCCCGCGTGGATGAGCTGGGCATTCCTTTTGCGATTACGGTGGATTTCGAGAAGGACGGCGCGGTGACGCTGCGGGAGCGCGATAGCGCCTCTCAGGTGCGCATTCCAAAGGAAAAAATTTACGAGGTGATGAGTCAGCTCTGTCATACGTTAAGCCCCCGTACCTGGAAAAGTGTGCAGGAGGAGTTTCCCTCTCAGGCCGCTGGTCCAGCAGAAAAGTAAGTTTTTTTTCCCACAAAAATAGAACGTAAGACCAGTTTAAAAGGATCGATCGATGAACTTTGTAGTTCAGATCCCAGTTCCTAAGCTTTTAATAATCACATCAATAAAAAAATATTAATGTTGTTTATTTATTTTCAATTTTAAGTGTCAGTGTTCTTTAGTAACCCTTTTAAACAAGAGAAAGATGAAAATTAATTCTATGAGTAGTTTAATTTCATTCATACTCGTTGGAGTCTTTTCATTTAGCTTGTAGACACATATAATGTGTTTATGCGTGCGGTATAATGTTATGGGACCTCCATCATGCGTGGTTTATTCTTTTTTCTTCATTGAAAGCTACTAGAAGTCAACTGTCTTTAAATGAATTCACCTTGACACATTTTTCCATGTTACCCTTTATTTTCTGGGCTACTTCTCCTACACTGTTTGGTGAGTGTACATTGTTCAAGTTTATCCCTTCATTATCCCTATATAAATAAATAAATATATATCTACATACATATATATATATATATATATAT